TTTTCAATGGATTTAACCAAAAATTGCAGTTTCGGTCTGAATGAGTCGATGAGTTGAAACTCATTAACTCAATAGTGCAACTCAACACTAGGCAGGGATCTGGATGAGCAAATGTGCACTAACAAACGCTATCGTCAGAATTAAATTCATGCAAACAGTCCGTGTTTCAGTTGCCCATTTTCAGTAAATAGCAAATATTTGTTTAAAATGTGTCGTTTAAACTTGCCGTGTCGGTGGGTTTTTTCATGTTTATGCAAATATTTGAAGAGCCATGTAGAGTAGTGCTTATCGCAAGCGAATCGGGTCAACTAATTCCAGTTAAACTTTGTTGTTTTTTTTTTGGTTCAAAGAAGTTTTAATTTAAATAATTCGCGTGTGGGTGATCAAAGAGGCTCCAACAACCATAAAAATGTGTCATCAAAAACGCCAATATAATCGAGCTATTATTGCCCCATTTTTATGCGCCAGTTTAATTAAATAAAACGATATCGAACGCAATAAACCTTTGGCCACGTCCGGGAAATAGAAATTCTTCAGCTTTATGGCAATACATAACTAAAAGATACATAAACTCGCCGATAACGTGCTCAGTACGTTGCTGCCCTTACCATTGCGATTCTTTGCTGGTCCAACTCCTTCTTGCATAATTAGCGTTTGCCCCATTCTAAGCCAGCCCCATTTAACCGAAATTTACGTCCCTTTTAGCATTCATATTGAAAGTACAGGGTTCATTAAGACCGTACAACGTCTCATGCAAATTGCCAATCAGGCCGAACCTAAGATTCTAGAACTAAGATTAAGACTAAACCCAAACTAAGCCTAAGAAACTAAACGATTCTGTTCATCCGAACGTATTGAGGGATTGCTGTTGTTTTTTCGAAGGTCTCAATAAACTCGCGCAAATTTCCATTTGCTCTGGTTAGCAAATTAATGGACTAGGAAGTTAAGTGGTTGGCTTAAAAGCAACTTTATTCGAAAATAGTTCAATTTATTTGTGTGGTTTATGTCATTTTTATCGTCCGTATCGCGCTGCTCTAATTTAGATTGCAATTTTAGCGCCGCACTCCCCCAATATAAAACAATATAACAGAACCGCAAAGCAGTAAACCCAGAAACGTTACGGCTTATTCGTATGCAGTTTTACTGTTTTGCCATCGTTTGCATTTTAGATTAAATCCATTGAAAATGCTACTAAAAGCTTTCCACAGTTGGTGGACGGTTTTCAGATGTGGAAAAAATCAAACTGATCTTGGCGGTGGAAAAGTCAGAGAGTTGAACAACCAAAGCAACAAAGGAACATTTTTCTTACGCATCAAAAGCTGATTTTTGCGGCCGAAGTTTAAAAATGAAGCGTTCGCAACTGCAATCTTGAATAAAAATTGCGATCTTCTGATTTAGTAGCATCAAAAAACCAAAACTTTTGCATCTAAAAACCCTCAATTTCAGCTCAAATCGCATCAGAGGCTGATTTATGTGCCAGTTGGAAATATTGGTCTAAAAATGAACGTTTTTGCGCCAGTGAGGCACTAGGCCTGTGCAACACCTGTGTTGAGTTAATGAGTTTTAACTCATCGGTTAATGCGTTAGCACTCATTTACCGATGACCGAAACTGCAATTTTAACATCTAAAAAAAGGTCATCAACATTTTTTAGCAGTAACGTTTTACCAGCCGTCAAACTGAGTTAGTGCGGGGGTGCGTTGGGTCAGCGCACTGAGTTACCTTTTCTGTAGAAACGGTTGCTTGAAAATATTTGATCTAAAATGGGAAAACCGGAAATTTTGAAGAAACTTAAAACTTCTTCAAAGCCATGA